GTGCAAATGCCATCTTATTCTCTCTGCAAATCCTTTCTCGCAATTGCTCCAACCATGCAAATTCAGGAAAATGTCTTGTACACTCCGAGATAGTATTGCATGTTTGACATCTAGGCTGTGATACCAGGGATCAAGCGATATATAGAGTAGGCAGAAGCTGTATCAGTCATGCAAACTTGAATCTGCATAACAACAGTTTCTGAAGATTGTTTATTTGCCAACAAATAAAAGATGCTTCACCATGATGGTGGTTACTGTGGTCCCTTGTATACAACAGCTTTGAAGCAGCACTGTCCTGGTAGTAGCAGTTCACAGAACATAAAGCACGCAAAGGACAGGAGAAACTTCGGGAGGATGTCACAGTAGACCATAACACTCTGAGATACACTTTTCAAAAGAAGGAGATGCAAACAAATAGAATGATGTGAGGATCCTAAATGAATCATCACGGTTGGCAACAAGGTTTGCATTTTCACCAAAGATAATCGAAACTCTACTGATCACAACAGGAATGACGATGAGTATGTGTAAACAATCACATCTGCTAAGCGTTGCTATTGATTGCCAAGCAGAAACACACTTACAACAACCTGGAATAGATCATCCTTGTGGTTCTTGCAGGATCATCTTCATGATAGCGGATTCCACAACCAGGAGTTAAAAGAACCCTTAAGCCCAGGGTGCTATTTGTCCATTGAGCTTCAATCGAACTCTGAGGTCGAGATAGGAGGGAACTTTGAATCTCCAAGATCAGGGGTTCATGCAAAATGGAAGGTGGTACATCTTGAAAGTCAATGTTTTCAATGGAGGACATTTTATCTCCATTTCTTCTGGTCTCGATGCCTCACAACGCAGCTGATCGTGAGCTTATGCGTATTGCAACCCCAGGAAAACATCATCGTTGGCGCGACATGCGTGCCCGACCCATTGCGTCTGATTACAAAATGTAAGGATCTGATTTGACATATCCGAAATATTTGGACATAATTTGAAATTTGAAGGGTATGTTTGTTTATTTGCCTGAACTGTTCGTTTGTTTGTTTGTCTCTTCTGTATGTCTGTTTGTCTGTCTGTTCTGTGTATGTGTGTTTGTCTGTTGCTGTTCGTTTGTTTGTTTGTCTCTTCTGTATGTCTGTTTGTCTGTCTGTTCTGTGTATGTGTGTTTGTCTGTTGCTGTTCGTTTGTTTGTTTGTCTCTTCTGTATGTGTGTTTGTCTGCGTGAGCAAAACACAGTTTTTTGTTTTGCTCACTACCCCTGCAGAGTCAGTGAAACCCTACGACCATGCAGCAACACCCCCAAAAACACAAGTTGAACGTGGGGTGCGCTTATTATCATATGAAAAGGGGGTAGGTAGTGGGAACACAGCCCCTTTTCTGATCAAACCTCAAACACAAAACGTAGTACCTACCCATTCACTCCGGCCTACCCTACCAAATATCATGATAAATCGGTATAAAGTGTAGGTAGGGGTAGTTTTCCACCGTGTTCAGGGGTGGGGGTTATATCCCTACTATATTACAACCTGTGCAATTGTTCTCTACCATGTGTGGAAATATTCCATGTCAAGGGCTCAACATTTGTTCTAAAATTTCATACTTGAACTGTAAAGTCGAGACCAAGCTGAAATGTTCAATCAAATTGCGGAATCATTAGCAACAAATAGTAGTTTTCCCGGACAAAATCCACCCACTGATTGCCATTTTTCTCGCAACGTGTTCTCTCTACCGCAGTGCAAATGTCGTGTGGAAGATTTCAATCCTTTTCATCCATGTTGTTACCGCCGCCCTTTGGATGGCTACGACATGCAGCGAATTGTTCAAGCTTATCCTGTTCGAAGTATGGACAGCTACACGATGGCATTCCTACAAGGCTTGAATCCAACACCTTATCGTCGTGCGATGAAGCTACCTGGAGGGGACTTGAACATTTTGCATTGCTGGAAGGCTTCATGGAGAAAACTTCTGATAAGCCTGATGTTGCTTCTTTCTTGTACTACGTTGCAAACGGATATCTTTTTTCGCCATCGTCTGTTGTTGGAAGTACTCTGCAAGGCTACTTCAATTGCGCGAGTCGGTTGGCACACTTGAGTGCAGAATATGAAAAACTCAAAAGTGAGCATCAGCGCATGAAAGATGCAATTCCCAACATTGACAAGGTTCTAAATTTGACATTTGAGGACATTTGGAAAGCAAATTTCCCTCAGGAGATATGCCCGGCAAATCTGGAAGACATTTCCAATGATTCTGCAGACAAAAAGCTAAGAATTCTCAAGGACATTCTTGCTGAAATAACTCCCACCTCCAATTTGCTCTCTGGAGGTCTGCAACGCATGACAGGCTTGAATGGAAGTGGCAAAGCTTTCGGCCATCTCAGTGATCTACGTCAAAGTTCCGATTCACTGTTTCACCTGGAGTCGTTTATGAATGGTTTTGCACAATCTGCATCTTTTCATTTGAAAAAGCATGCCAAGACCAACAAGAGGATAAAGAAAGCGTTGCAAAAAATGTACAACTCTGTTTGTGCGAGAATAGACGAGCTTTCTCTTATGACTTTGCAAAATGGACTGACTCACAAGGCGTTGGACGATCTTCACAAAATGATGAAGGAAAGTGGGCTTCAAGTTATGCACAGTCCTACGGAAATCAGCAGGACGAAGGCCAAGCAAAAAAGATTAGTAGAAGAAAAGGTTGATGGAATAGTCGAGCTTCCTGGGGGCCATGGAGCAAATCTTATCAAAGTGACGGAATTGTTTTTCATGAAGCTTGTGCAGTCGACACCAGAATTGATGTCGGTCAAAGGATTGAAGTTGTCCACCTGCTTCGATAGCGTCCGACTAGGCTGTTCAGCTCAGTCAGGAACAGAGCATACAGACTTTGCAATGAATTTGATTGGAGTCTGGGATGATGCCGTGCAGTTTGCAGACTGTTTTTTCGATCAAGAAACAAGATTAAATTCTCCTGCATCGTATGTCACATTTTTACTGATCTATTTGCAAGATTCAATTGAAAATATCAAGGCAAATCTTTGGGATGAATATGGACTTGACTTGAAGGCATTCTTAGGCGAACTGATCTGTGCGGATGGAAGGAAGATAGCTGCTGGGCTGCATTTTTACAGGGACGACAATGGAAATTTGACGTGCATCGATGGTCGGAAACGGTCCATGAGTGACCCTGCTGCTCATCCTGAGCTCATCATTCCCCTCTCAATTGAATTTCGTGGCGACCTCAAGGGCTTGTGGCATCTTGTCGGCATGAAAGGTAATTGCTGATAGCATGGTTGCCTCAGTGTCCTTTCTAAACGTCATTTTCGCATAGGTGCCAAGGGAGATCAATGCTGCTTGTACTGCCATGTAAAATCAGCTGAGCGTCATCTCATCTTCGATATCGCGGAGGTTCCTGAGGACATCACTGTCGATGATTTCTGCAAGGAAAGAGCAATTCCAGCAGATGTGTTCTGGTTGGTTCACGAAGTGCTAACCAATGGAGGGCAATGCAGTATCGTACATCAATGCATGTTCGGTGGAAAATGTTTGAGCAAGGCAGACGTGTCTAAGCTGAATGTGTCAAAAAGGAGCAAGACACTGAAACGTGGGCAGAAGGTGGTCGTACTGAAGCAGGATCACGGAATGGAAAGAGAACATGAGGTTTTGAAAGAACATGGACTTGATTGCAAAAGCCTTGTCATTTGTGTTCTCCATCTCAAATTGCGGATTGTATACTGTGTCCTCAAGTGTGTATACAAAACAGCTCAACGAAAGCACCGAACTAAACAAGCTCAAAGCATTTTACACAAGTCTGGAATCAAGTATAAGTTGGAAGAAAACAATGGGAAGCTTCCTAACTTGACAGGCAAACAGTGCGACGATTTGTTGAACCGAGCTATGGGACCCCTACTCGACCTCCTTTATGATGATGTTGATGAGCGAAATAGATACACTGAGATCTACAAAGAGTTGTCATCCGTACTTTCGACATTGTCTTGTACGCATGTTTCCCATCTTACCGATGAAGACATTGGTACATTAGCGACGAGGATCAATTCATTCGTTATCAGATACGTCGTAGAATGCGGCGATAAGGAACTCTTCAGTGCTGTGTATTTTCACTTTTTATCTGCCGGACATGTCGCAGAATTATTCCACTATCATCTTTCAGAACGAAACGTTACTTTGGGTGCTCTGAGCATGTCAAGTTTGGAACTAAGGCACAGAATTTGCGGACGACCTGCTTGGAGAAAAGGATTGATGGAAGGCAATGCAGCAGCAGGTAGAAAACGATCTCATGAAAACATGACCGAGGATCATGTAGATACAGCGACTCTGCAGCAAATGTCTAGGAATATGAGCAATTTTTTTGCATTCAGAAATTTGCTAACGTCAGGATTAGGAACGATTGTAAATTTGTACTACTCTTAGTTCAGTGCCCATGATTTATAACACTCTCTGTTGCCTCTTTTTCTTGTCTCGCCAATCAACCCATTGGATCTTGCCCATCATGCCACCAATGCTACCGACTGTTTCAAAACCCACGGACATATTCCCCCGTTTGTACGACAAATACATCGGTCCGCCCACAAACATTTGTGTCAGATTTTCTTGAAGCTTCGGTGTCGACTTGAAAGGGATATCTAACACTTCTCTGAAAGCTTTATCTTGAACGATGTTCTCTGCAAATATCCATGTGAATTGTGATTTGTTCCTCTTCGCCTTGACATGTTTGAAAAGACGAGGTGGAATTAAACGAAGCAAACTCCTCATTGAAATATTCTTGCAAGTAAAGTCAAGATCTTGTGTGCCTGCTTTCTTGAATGTACGACTCCTGGCTGTGAGCCATAGCTGCATGCTGTTCTTAATCTCTTCGATGTCTGAGACTGTCTTGAGGTAACCGGATGGTGTGAGCACTGAAGCTTCGATGCTGGAAGATACTATCTTCTTAATTGTTTGTTCAGGGTCTTGCAATTTGAAGTACGAAATCTCACAATAGGGCTTTCGACGATTGTAGTTGTCTTCATTGAAGAAAATGTACCCTACAACATCGATAATCCTTGATTGCGGTGCTTGAGACGACATAGAATCAAGAAGGAATGGATACTGAATAGTTAGCACATCCTGAATCAGGTCCAGGTCCACTTCTTCCGTGTACACTGATTGGAAGCATGTTCTCGCATTCAGGTCCAGGTCCACTTCTTCCGTGTACACTGATTGGAAGCATGTTCTCGCATTCATCGACCTCACAATCTGCCTCATGGACTTGTTTTGTAAGCCATGCTTTGAAATATTTGCATCAACTTTGTCCAAAAGATTCTTGTCATACAACATGAAAATCTCCACCCTGCAATCGGAAACCAAACGTTTGATTATACCGTACCTTGTGGTTCTTGCAGGATCATCTTCATGATAGCGGATTCCACAACCAGGAGTTAAAAGAACCCGTAAGCCCAGGGTGCTATTTGTCCATTGAGCTTCAATCGAACTCTGAGGTTGAGATAGGAGGGAACTTTGAATCTCCAAGATCAGGGGTTCATGCAAAATGGAAGGTGGTACATCTTGAAAGTCAATGTTTTCAATGGAGGACATTTTATCTCCATTTCTTCTGGTCTCGATGCCTCTCAACGCAGCTGATCGTTGGCGCGACATGTGCCCGTCAACAGCGCCAAGGCCCGTCGCCGTGAATAATTTATGCGTGTTTTGCCAAACCCATTGCGTCTGATTACAAAATGTAAGGATCTGATTTGACATATCCAAAATATTTGGGAGCACTTTGAAATTTGCCAGGGGGTGTATGTCTGCTTATCCCAACAAAACAATGCATTGGCAGAAAACAGACGAGGAACGATCTGCGCAGTTGGAGGTCAATCGAAGAAGAAAACGGGAGAGGAGGGCCCGCGAAACAGAGGAAGAACGATCTGCGCGGTTAGCAAGCCAACGAAGGAGACAATCGGAGAGGAGGGCCCGCGAAACAGAGGAAGAACGATGTGCGCGGTTAGCAAGCCAACGAAGGAGAGAATCGGAGAGGAGGGCCCGCGAAACAGAGGAAGAACGATGTGCGCGGTTAGCAAGCCAACGAAGGAGACAATCGGAGAGGAGGCAGAGGGCCCGCGAAACAGAGGAAGAACGATCGGCAAGTATGGAAACTCTGCGAAACCGCAAGCGCAGAAGTCGGAGTGCTGTTTACAATGTGTATCAAGAGGCTGCACACAAGAAAATTTCAATACGAGAAGAGCTGATGATCTACCCAGTGGACATGCGGTTTCTCAATGAAGTAGAAAAGCAGTTTGATTTAACAAGAATGGTTGGCTCGGGGACTTTCGGGGAGGTCTATGAGGCCTACGACAGGTTAAATGATCGTCGAGTAGCAATCAAACGATTATTACCATTTCAAACCATGGATGCGCATAAGAAGGAAGCAAACTTTATATCAAGCTTGCATGGAAAATCCAACATTGTACAGCGTGTGCAAAGTCCGCCACTGGCGCCTAATGGGATAATCCTTGTCGAGGAGCAGCAGGCTTTGATTTTTGAATACTTCGAACATGACAGTCCCTCAGATTACGTCAAAGATTTGACCATCAAAGAGATTACCCACTACATGAAGAATTTGTTTGTAGCATTGAGGTCTGTACATGCCCTCGGGATCATACATCGAGACGTGAAATTGAATAACTTCCTCTACGACAGAAGGAACAAGAAGTACTTGCTTGTGGACTTTGGGCTGGCAGAGAAGAAAATGCAGAAGACTGCTCTGGGAATTTCCACAGGACAAACGCCTTCACCAGGCCGCAGAACAACGTCAGGGTCAATGAGCAAGTATTTCCCTGCCACGAAGAGCAACGGCTACATCTTGCCCTCTGAGAACCTGGCGCAGCAGATTGCAAAGAGGCGAAGGTTGGGCGTCAGAAGGACGAACGCATCGGAGACCGTGAGGAACTCAGGGGTCAAACTGAAACGGCTTCCAGTCAACCGCGGGGGAACCCGGGGCTACCGCGCGCCCGAAGTGCTCATGGGCAGCCACCACCAGACGAAAGCAGTGGACGTCTGGAGCGCTGGGGTGATACTGCTTACCCTGCTGTGCCGGCAGACACACTGCTTCCAGTGGTTCCGGCATGACAATGACAACTTGGCGGTCATGGAGATCTACGGGTACGCCCGTTGTGTAAGCCTTGAAGTAAGTGCGCTGGTCTGACTGTATGGTCTGAACAGCTTGCGCATGTACATCAAGAGCATGGACGCTGAGTTCCAGCACAACTATGGGTATACGGGTCAGTACAGGGATAAGATCAGAGATGTCATCGAAGATTTCAAGCTCGACGTTGAAGTAAAATTGTTGTCGTTGTTGCTGCTGTTGTTGTATCATGAGGATGAGGATGAGGATGAGGATGAGGATGAAGATGAGGATGAGGGTGAGGGTGATATGGTGGCGGGACTCTTAAGCTGGGGATGCTAACTTCATGTCATTCAGTTCGGACCATTGGAACAGTATCTGAGCTATGCCCGCGGTTTGGAGCAAACATGGCGGACCTTATCAAGCGCCCTGAGCGAGGATGCGGGATGCAAGGGCTGGCTGGAGGTGGAGGAGAAACATGCGATCTGGGACTTCCTCAACCGCTGCCTCGACATCGATCCCCGCACGAGGATGACTGCAGAGGAGGCTCTGAAGCATCCCTTCCTCGCTAGTGGTCTTGAGTAAACCGTCTCTCCTCTGGCATCTCCCAGTCTCTCGCGATCAGCATATCATCGCAGTGACCTCCCAGGCTTCTCTTTCCCTTCCAACCCCTACTCTCCCATCTCCTTCCCACCTCCCCTGTCCCCTCCTCTCTCCTCCCTCAGCCTCACAAACTCCAATGACATGTTATAATCGCCATCCCACTGGCTGTTGAGAGCATTTCACAAGACTCAAACTGTTGTGGAATGCATTGGGAGAAGCCTCAAAAAATGCAATCATGGCAAAGCACCAGCAAGTCTCTTGAAATATGCTTCATATACAACCGACGAAGCATTCTGGTACAGGAAGCTAGGCCGTCATCGCAATAAGGAGAATAGCATTTCCTTCATGTCTTCGAAGGTTGCCTCTCTGATCGATTCCTTTCATGTTTCCCTTCTGAAAGTGTGAAAACAGCTGATCAGGGCTTTGGCACATCAGAATTGAGGTGTTTCAGTGCAAGTATGACAAGGAAAGTCACACAATTATTGGATAGCGTGAGCATGCAAATTTGAATGCATACCTTACACTATTACAAGTCAATGCACAGTTACAACTATGCTCACAATGCTTCAAAGCATATTTGCATTTACACGCAACTCAACGAACTGAGATTCAAATATTTCCTTTCCACAAAATTCTTATTGCAACATGATATGCATCATCCTCAAAACACTCTGCTTAAAGGAAATGCAGTCGTTTTCCCACATGATACATTCAAATCTGGTCAAATTTGGCATCAAAAGATGTTCTTGTCATCACATTGATGTATGTATCTCACAACATGGTGCCCACAGGGCGCGATCTGCTTGAACGTGAGTCTCCGAAACTGACATAGTGTTCAACATTGGTACATTCGGTACAACGTTTAAAAATTCCAGAAATGGCACGGTGCTGGCAGGATCCCACAATTTGAAATGGCGTGGTTTGACAGAAGTAAAACATTTCAAGGAAAATTTTCACTTTGAAATCCAAAACCTATTCATTAAGAAAAATCCAGGTAGAAAAAGACCCCGCCGAGACGGAATAAAATCCAGTTGAGAACCCAATGGAATGGGGCCTGATCTCTCCGGGCGGCCGTGACCGGTCAGCGGACCGTGTCAGCAGGCCCGTGACATGTCAGCCGGCTGACAGGGGCCGTGACCCGGCTGACAGGCTCACCTGACCGGTCACGTGACACATCACGTGACCGAGACAAGACTTTTTTATATCGCAGATCCAAAAACCCATAGGACATTTCTCCCAGGGGGAAGAAAACCTCCCTTGACCCCCCTGTTTCTCGACGGATCCTGCCGGCCGGGCCCGTCAGTAGACCGACTGCAGCCTTCAGCCCCGCCTCAGACCCCCTGGAGGCCCGCCAGGAGGCTAAGTGTCCGGAGATTGGCCGGGGGCCTGATCTCTCCGGGCGGCCGTGACCGGTCAGCGGACCGTGTCAGCAGGCCCGTGACATGTCAGCCGGCTGACAGGGGCCGTGACCCGGCTGACAGGCTCACCTGACCGGTCACGTGACACATCACGACTCCTTCGTTATGGATCGAGTATATCGCAGATCCAAAAACCCATAGGACATTTCTCCCAGGGGGAAGAAAACCTCCCTTGACCCCCCTGTTTCTCGACGGATCCTGCCGGCCGAGCCCGTCAGTAGACCGACTGCAGCCTTCAGCCCCGCCTCAGACCCCCTGGAGGCCCGCCAGGAGGCTAAGTGTCCGGAGATTGGCCGGGGGCCTGATCTCTCCGGGCGGCCGTGACCGGTCAGCGGACCGTGTCAGCAGGCCCGTGACATGTCAGCCGGCTGACAGGGGCCGTGACCCGGCTGACAGGCTCACCTGACCGGTCACGTGACACATCACGTGACCGAGACAAGACTTTTTTATATCGCAGATCCAAAAACCCATAGGACATTTCTCCCAGGGGGAAGAAAACCTCCCTTGACCCCCCTGTTTCTCGACGGATCCTGCCGGCCGGGCCCGTCAGTAGACCGACTGCAGCCTTCAGCCCCGCCTCAGACCCCCTGGAGGCCCGCCAGGAGGCTAAGTGTCCGGAGATTGGCCGGGGGCCTGATCTCTCCGGGCGGCCGTGACCGGTCAGCGGACCGTGTCAGCAGGCCCGTGACATGTCAGCCGGCTGACAGGGGCCGTGACCCGGCTGACAGGCTCACCTGACTGGGACACGTGACACATCACGTGTCCGAGACAAGACTTTTTTATATCGCAGATCCAAAAACCCATAGGACATTTATCCCAGGGGGAAGAAAACCTCCCTTGACCGCCCTGTTTCTCGTAGGAACCTGCCGGCCGGGCCCACCAGTAGACCGACCGCAGCGAAGAGACCCGCCTCATACCGAACTCGGCCCGCCAGGAGGCTAAGTGATCGGAGATTGACCGGGGGGCAGATCTATCCGGGCGCTTCGTGATCGGTCAGCAGCCCGTGACTGCAGGACCTT